AAATACTTTTTTGCCTCACTGTATATATATGTATATATAGAGAGAGAGAGAGAGAGAGAGAGATTGATTGATTGATTGATTGATTGATTGATTGATTGATTTCACGGCTGCCTTTCAAGATTACAGTTTTCCCAAACATAAGACGATTGTATATGCATTTGTAAAACATGTTTAATATGAAGAGTTTAAAATATATAGAGCGACTATAAAATGCTATTGCAAACAATCCTTCAATTTTGTCAGCCATTTTGGCCACAAATTTCATTTGTACATATTTTATTTATAAAGCTCAAGACAGAAGATGTAATGCAGGCCTGAGCATATGCACGGGCAGATGATTTTATATTTTTAGAGATTATTATCCAAAAACAATTAAACAGGAAGCTGGCATGTTTCAAAGTCCATGGCTGCCCCTGGCATCCCCTCGTTTCCAAGAATCTGTGTTGAGTTGGGCAGCCATACAAATTGGCATTATAAATGAATAAATAAAGCCAGCCTCTCACATAGCCATGGAGGCATTCTGAGAAAATTAGCTTAATATTTTGCTTAGAAGTATCCCCACCTGCCCAGAAAAGAGAGAGAGGTAAGCTGGGGTTGGTATGGAGCATCCAGGGACAAGGAAAGTCCTGGCTGTAAGAAACAACCACGCCATTGTTGCTTCCTGGTAAATAGATGGCAGCCATTTTTATGAGTGCTCCCAAAATGTGCTGTCAACATTGCAGGTGTGATCAACTGCCCCCCACCCCAGGTTGCGTACCTGTCCTCCTGTAATGATCCTCAGGCAATCCCCCCCAAGTACAGACCCTCTTCCTACAGCACGGTTGTTGCATTATGTCTCTTGTGAATAGAAGTGGCTTTTTGGTTTGCTTTCAGAGTCCCACCAAGTTCTGGCTCAGCTTTTGGATACGTTGCTGGTGATTGGGAAGAAGCTTCAAGAGAACCCTGCAGTGCGAGGGCGTCTTATAGACGTAGCTTGCAAGGTAATTTAAGACAGCCAGTGAAAGAACTCTAAGATATTTGATTGTATAGTTCAATGTTTTTCAACCTTGGCAACTTTAAGATGTGTGGACTTCAACTCCCAGAATTCCCCAGACAGCATGCTGAGTTGAAGGACATCTAGATTGGTAATCGTAGTTATACCCAGTGGCCACAAATCCCACAGTTTTAAGTAGGTGTTGTTTAAAAAGTATTTTTATGCAGAGAGAGAAGGATTTGTGGCATTAACAGGGAAGTGTGTCTTCTCTTAGAAAAGCATATGCATTGTAGGAAGAGATGAGGAGGATGGAGGTGAGCGTGGGGGGACCTGTGACAGATGGTGAGGAGAGCGTGTAGCCCAGACCCGCTTCCTGCAGATGCTGAGATGATAAGTTTTGCCACCCCCACTTTCCCTAGAAAATCTTGTTGAAAACCAATATGTTTGCATTAACACATTATTTCTACCTGGCAGGATGGGAATTTCAAAGATACTAATCACTTATAAGGGCATCTCCTAATATCTCCTGATATCCAAAGAGCAGACAAAACATGGGTCAACCCGCTCTTCTGTTTTGCTCCGCAGCATCTGACGGATTCCTCCCATGGTGTAAGGAACAAATGCCTGCTCCTGATTGGCTGTCTGGGGACAGTGGAAAAAGGTGGCTCGAAGGAAGCGGAGCACCAGTCTCCCAAAGACGTGCAGAAGATTATAGGGGATCACTTTAGCGACCAGGATCCACGAGTTAGGACTGCAGCTATAAAAGCTATGGTAGGTCTCAGTGAGAAGAATGGTGATTTAGAATGAGTTACGGAGCTTAGCAGAATGCCACAGGGCATGAGTAGACCTCCAGCAATTCTCAGAAAACAAAATCCTTGGTCTACATGTTCAGCAGGGGTTAGCACCTGGTAGGCCCTGGGCCAACAGTGACTCCTAAATCTGCTTCATCTCTGCTACTGTGGTCAACCTTTGTAGTAATGGGACTCATGGCTATGCGCATTGAAGAAATGGATCCATCTCTCTTGCTTCCCTCGTTCTTGGAGTGGCCCTCCAGCAAAGCACAGAATGTGTGTTGACTAAGGATAGTGTTAAAAAAAGAGGAATTAACATCCTTGAAGTTAAACATGCTAAACCAGGTTAAAAGCAGTTAAAATGTACTTAGAACTTCTGAGCAGTCCAGTGCATATTTATCCAGAAACATGCCTACGGAATTCAATGGGGCTTCCTCCCAGGAAACCTAATGTTAGACTGCAGGCTAAACGAAGTTGTGTGGATTCATGCAACATGTTGATCCTTAAACTCAGGTTAACAGCTTTGTTAAGTGAACACAAATTACATGTTGGTGTAATATGGTGGCCTAGGTTCACCCAACATGCTAAGACAAGGACAAGTTTCCCATAAACATTGAATCACAAACTACCCAACCTTTTAACCTGGTTTAGCATGTTGTGTGAACCCAGCTACTGTGTATAAATTCTCCTGATTGAAATGTTTGTCATGCATTCTAGAGAAGTGAATGTTTGTGTGTAAGATTACTTCCCCTTTTAATTTCACTATTTTACTTGTTATTTTCCTGTACAGAAATGTAGCCAGAATCCTGTAACACTTTTCCATTTCATGTTATTTTGCATTATGCAACGTGCAAAAGCCTAACTTCTCTGAATTACTGTAATAACAGTCTTGTGTTTTTTCCCCCCTATAGTTGCAGCTTCATGAAAGGGGATTAAAGTTGCAGCAAACAATTTATAGCCAGGTAACGATTGTGTGATATATCAGTTTAGCAAAGGGCTCTAATGTTCGATGAATCCAAGAGAAATATCAAGGAGAACTGCTTAAATTAGCCTTCCCCAAGCCACGAAACAAAATCAAGAAAAGGTGCCTGCAGGGCAGATTTCTGGGGTCCTTTTCTGTTTTTCTTCTTGCAAACACTGTGCTTTTTTATATTTGCATTTGGTCTTTCACCCAAAATTAACTTCCAAAATGACTTGCAATGTACACCCAGGAGAATAAAGATGTAAGAGGAATGCAAGAGAGAGGAGGTTGGTTTTAAACTCACGAGTCTTACTTTTTGCTCTTGGTGGGGGGGGGGGTATTTGTTTTTGTGAGTCAGTGGTGGCAAAGTGTTATTCAGCCTCTGCCACCCCCCACCCCCAACTCCCTTGGCATAAGAAATGGGCTAATTCCTTCTTTTTGCTAAAACGACAAAGCATTAGCTGAACAAACATGCAAAGAGGAAAGATCAGGAAGTTGCAGCGTTTGGACAGATGTGCTGCTTCCGAAGTTTAAAGGTTTAAATAGCGTGGGTTCAAGCTGACGCCTCCTCTGCTTGTACCAGCATGCCTGCCCCCTCCGATCATCAGTGGAATCTTTTCTCCCTTGGTTGTGGCCAAGGAGGTTGTGTTTGCACAAAGGAAAGGATTGTTTCAGGAGCAGCCCTGCATCCTTGGTCCAGGTTGCCTCGGTGGCCTTTCCTCTGCATGCTTTTAAAAGCTCTGAATACCCAGGGGGGGTTTTGGGGGGGGGTCACCTTTTTTTTTTAAGCTGGGGTTTCTGGGCTGCTGGGTTTTGAGGAGGGAAGGGATTAATTGCTATTTTTATTATAATTTTCCGTGTAGTGTGCTAGCTTAGATGGATTTCATTGTGGAAGATGCTCTAAAACTAATTTATAATATAGGACAGGGAAGTGTTTTGAAGCAACGCCTATACGGCATGCAGGATGCAAACACTGATAAAACCCTTGGATCCTGCGGCAGGGCTGAGATGCATGAGACCCGTTGCAGTGGGGAGAAAGTCAGCATCCCCCTCCGGGTCTTCCCAGTTTCCCACCCAAAATGCTCAGCTGATCTTTGCTTATTCTGTGGAAATTCCTCTCACAGGCTATCAAAGGCTGTTAGGCAATGATGGGGACAGTCCTTTTTGGGGTTTTAGGTGCTTTTTCATGTCTTTGTTCATTTAGTTTCTACCCATACGTTTCAGTCCCCATTAAAAAAAAAAAAAAGATGAAATCATAGGCTGAAGTGCAAATAATGGCTTACAGCTAATAACCTCCTGGAAACCTCCTATTTCAGGCGTGTAAACTCTTAACGGATGATTATGAACAGGTCCGCAGCGTAGCAGTACAACTCACTTGGGTCCTTAGCCAGCTTTACCCAGAAAGGTACGTATAAGGTGTCAGGTAGTTCCAAAGGTAGGGGAGTTAACGTTGTGGTATGAGAGTGTGTAAAGCAAGATTTGGAGAAGCTATGTAGCAAGCAAGGTAACTCCCCTCCTGTAGTACAAAGCCGTATTTCTCCATCTTAGCAACTTGAAGATGTCTGGACTTCAACTCCCAGAATTCCCCAGCCAGC